TTGGAACCCTTCAACCCCTCGTCAACCCCTTCAACCTCCTCCTCCTCCTTATCATTCCCCAATCAATATTTGCACTGAAGGGGTCATAGCGGAAAGTGAAAGATTTGGCTAAATTTGCCCGCCGAATCCCACCAGCCCTTTGGGCGTAGGTGGTCTAGAGTGTTTCCTCTGTTGCCCCTCCTTCTTCCCTTTCGTGGAGGGGTTTACCCCCCCCCCTACCCCCTCCCCTGGACCTGGACGGGGCGTTCCGCGAACGGTCGGAGCGTCCAAAACGGCCTCGGCGATAAAGCCAAAATCATTGGTTTTACGAGGGTGTTGGCCCCAATGGGGGGCTCCCGAGTGGAGGCGCAATTAAAGCTCCCCATCGATCTCCTTCAAGATGGCCCCAAGAGCGCCCCAAAGGCTCCCAAGAGCGCCCCAAGAGGCGCCCAAGAGGCCTCCGAGGGGCCCCCCAACGGCTTCAACATGATCCCCGAGGCACCCGAAATGCCCCTCAGACGCTCCAAGAGGGCCCCCCGAAGCACCCAAGACGCCCAAGAGCCCCCCAGGACCGCCAAGAGGCCCCCAGGACGCCCCAAGAGGCCACCAAGAAACGCCCAAGCGATATCCCAAGAGGCTCCGAGAGGCATCCAAGGGACCTCTGGCCCTTTTGCTCGCACTCCTCCTTCTGCTCCTCCTTCCTCATACTCCTCCTCCTCCTCCTGCTCCTCCTCCTCCTCATCATATCATCATCTTCATCGGCCTCCTTTTTCTCCTCCTCCCTCCTTCGCGCGGTTCGGCCGCCCACCTCTTTGCACCCGCACTTCCCTGATCACCTCAACCCGCACGCGAAACGTCTACAATTTGGTAGCCGGCTGAATTCCCGGGGGCCCAATTCCAAATTCCCAAATTCTTGGTTATTGGTTCCGGACAGATGTCGGTGGGTTCCGGGTTCCCCGGTTCCCGGTCGATCTCCTTATCGATCTCTTTATCGATCCCATGATTCATCGAACCATCCACTGATGGGTTTCTTCCGGTGTAGGGATCCTTCTTGACTCACGCGTTTTACTATTGTGTGTGGTTGCTGAGCACAGGCAGCCATCACCCGATCCTTCGGGAAGTGAAGTCGAGTCGACCCACCTCGCCATGTGGTTTCAATGGGGAGAGGGAACTTGGAGGCTGAGCGAGACGCGGCTCCCCTCAAACACGTCAATTACTTATCCGTCTCCCGGGCCCCGCCTCATCCTAATATTTGTCCATCCGTCCGCTCTCCCTAAGTATCGCCTCGTAGCCCCTGGAAGTCTCGAAACCCCACCCACCCGAACATCTGCCTCTCCTCCCTCCCTCCCACCTCCTCCTCCCGTGGTGCACGGTACGCCAGTGACTCCAACTGTCCGTGGGGGCCCGGCTTTTGCACGGGTCGGCCAGGCTATTTGCTGCTCACACGTTAGCGGGCACGAGCTGGTGGATGGAGCATCTGCTGCCCGCGTATTGGGACCCTGGAGCTCCTACCTTGGACATCTCTTGTAACCATCGTGTCGTCCACGAAAGACTGGTCCACTGTTGAGCGTGCCCCCACTCGCTTCCTTGGCCTCCGTATGACCTCCCTCCAATACCACCTCCTCGACACTCCAGGGGGGGTGAAGGCTCCCACGGCCGCGGCGTGAACAACACGCTGCTCGGCAAACGCGAGGATTGGGTATTCAGGACTGCGGCCAAGAAAGCCTGTTCTAGCAGGCTGCCGACGGTCATCGCTTCAGCTGTGCTTGACAGTCTCTGTTTTCGTCGTGCCTCTCCAGTTGGAAGAAGACGCGAAGTTTAGTCTTGGAGCCTACCCCAAGGAAATGCCAACAGGCCCTATGGGCTTCTACGTCCTGAGGTCCGAGGATGCCGATTTCCGATTCACCGCGGCTCCTGATGTTGCGCGCCGCTCGCGTCGTCGTCATGTCCACCCTGAGCTTGAAAAGGTTCGGCTGGCATCGCACTTCCCAAGATGCTTAAGGCCCCTCGGTGCCCCTCTCGGACTCGTCTCCCTCCGAGCCGCCAGCGCAGAGCACGGGTGAGCAACGGCCTGATGAGTCGGAGGGAAACCATGAGGCAGAGGGCCCCTTGCTCCTCCTCGCCTACTTCGTGTCCTCCTCCTCCTCCTCCTCCTCCTCCTCCTCCTTCCCCTCCTCCTCGCCGCCTCCGCCTCCCCCCCTCCCCTCCTTCGTGTCCCCCTCCCCTCCCCTCATCGCCTCCTTCGGGTCCTCCTCTTCCTCCTCCTCCTCCTCCTCCGCCTCCTCTCCTCCTCCTCCTCCTCCTCCTCCTCCTCCTCCTCCTCCTCCTTCTTCCCTTCCTCCTCCACCTTCGAGTTCTTGTTGTCCTCCTCCTCCGCCTCCCCCCCTCTCGGAGGATCAGCTGGCGCGAATGTGGGCCAACCACGAGGAGTCCCGCGCCCGCAAGACTGCGCGGTTTCAGGCCGCCCGCGCTGCTCGGGCGCCCAAGGCTGCACCCAGAAGGGTGCTGCGGGGCGGGCGTTTCACATCCGCCTCCTCTTCCTTCCATCAACCTGGGGCTCTTTGGTGGGAGGCAAACCTATCTTGTTAGAATATGTCCAATACCGGCGCAGCGGTGATAGTCAACTGTTGCAGCTGCTGGGCAGGAGGGTTACGAGGTGTGCGCGCGGGAAACCATTCGGCGAACGATAATGCATCCTCCTCCTCCTCCCTGTCATTTCATCTTCGTCCTCATCACTTCCCCCTCGCCCATCCTCATTCAGCCGTTCCCTCCAACCCCCCCTCCTCCCTTATCCCTCATCCTCCTTCGCACATCCTTCTCCCCCTCCTCCTCCCTCCCTTCCTGTTTCTTTCCCTCTCTTTCTCACCCTCAGTCCCTCCCTCCTTCCCCCTCCCTTCCCTTCTCATTCTCTTCCAAATCCTCCTCATCCTCTTCCTCCACCTCCTTATCCGTTCCTTTCCTTATACAAACAACTCCTCCCTGTCGCGCCGCCCAACTTGTCGGCACTGCGGGACGGGCGTTTCGACTAAGACGTCCACGGCATTGATGCCCCTGAAGCACGACAAATACAGCGGCGGGCCATTTTCAAAATGTGGCTCCTGCCGTAGCGCGTCGCACATTCGTCTTAAAAGTTCGCACCAGCTTCACGGATCAAGGGTGGGTCTTTTCCAACGCGCGCCTCCCGCCTCAGCGCCGCGCACCGTGGTCTTGCCAGTGTGCAACATGGTTTCGGATGGCATACGGTTTCCGCCTTAGCGCCGCGCGTAGTCGTCTTGAACGCTTGGCCCAGCTTCGTGGATGGAGGGCGTCTTCTTTTCAAACGGTGGCTTTCATGTTTCAAGCCGCAGTGGCAGAACGAGCGAACGCAAGAGGGTGCCCGGGACTGCACACGAATTCGCGTCATGCCCCTCGCATGGTGCCCGCCGCGACAAGGGGCGACCACTCGAGAGAAGGAGCGCCCGCAAGTTCTCGTCGAGAGCCTTGACGTTCTCACCAGGGGCGTCGATGCAGACAGCGTAGCGCGACGACGCGGAGTCGAAACACTTCACGACGCCGCACTTACCCGACAGATCTGAGCGAGACACCAGATCGCCAAACACCACTGTCTGACCCTCAGCGAAAGTCGCATCCCTTGCGACATTTAGGACCAGTGAAGGCAAAGAAGAAATTGAAGACGGCGCACGAACGCAGCGTGGAGAGCGTTCCCGAAAAGCGCAAGGAACCATGACGCGCGCCGGCCTGCTGGGAACAAGCTCCATAGCCACCTGGTGGCTGCGGAGTTTGCTCCCAGCTTGGTGACCCTGGTGACCAGGGCCACTGACAAGGCAGAAGTTTCCGGCGGAACAACCTCTGGGACGCCACTGGCTGGCGGCGGCAATTCCGGACCACCGTCCACACCATCGACCCCGGCGTTGGTTCCTGACACCGCGGGGATCGTTCAACCTTGAACGATCGGCCGTTCCACTAACGCCTGCTCGTTCAACGACGGGTCGAGTCTAGGCCACGGGCGGAGTTCGACCGTAAACACATGCGCTGGGGTCGCCGCCGGCCGACACGACGCGAACCTGCCGCAACAGTCTGCCTTTTCTTCTCCTTGGTGCACTTCTTCTCTCCCTCGCCGCCGCCGCCCACAGCGCCGTCGCCAGCGCCGTGAGCAAGAGCCACGGGACGAGGAGTTGCAAGCAGCGTCGCGACGGGCGGCCGCGCCAGAGCCCCCGAACAACGGAGAGGGCACGCTGCCTCGCGCAGCCCGGCGGCAGCGGCAAGGCTGGCGGCGGAGTGCGAGGCAAGAGCAGCAGCGCGAGCTGCTGCCGTCCAGTGGGACTGCGCAAGCGCCGTCGGCAACAGAGGTGAGAGTTCAAAACGAGCTCGACACAGCTTGAGCCAAATGGCTCAAACAAAAACACAATCGCCATATCGCCTCGCGCATCCACTTTGAAATCTTGCAGCAAAAATAAGGGTTCGTACGGTTGCAGTCCCAGGGATTGCGATTAGGTGTGCTTAAGGATTCTCATGACGCGACAACCATGTTGATTCGCTGTGCTGAACTCCTCGGAATGGTTTTCCGGCGCAGTCTAGGATCGTCAAGCCGCAGCAATCACGTTGATTCGCGGCGGTGAAATCCCAGGAATTGTGTGTTGGTACGTCTGACATATCTCAAACGGTTGTCATCAGACGGGGCGCTTCTCAAAATGGAGCTGATTTCGTGTAGGTGCCTATGAAAACGGAGCTTGGAAGAGGGTTTACTGCAACATCGCTGACGCGTCTTAGTTTTGCATTGGTCTCCTCCTCATCCTCGCCCTGCACCTCCTCCTCCTCCTTCTCCTCTTCTTAATCCTCATCCTCATCATCTTCCCTTTCCTCCTCCTCCTCATCCAACGCATCTTCCTCCTCCTCCTCCTCCTTCTTTCCTTTCTTCTCTCCCATATCCTCCACCTCCTCCTCCTCCGCTCCTTCCTTCTTCTGGCTCCCCCCCCTCATCCTCGTCCTCGTCTCCCCGCGCTGGCAGGGTAGCAAGTCGCCTTGTCTGGCTTAGGGATGCTTTCCCTCTCTGGCCCGACGCCGTCGGCCCAAATGAGCGCCTGGGGGGGGGGGCGGGGGGCAAGATGCGAGGAGACGAGGAAGAGGAAATCTGCAACATCTTGAACACATGACCACGGAGATTCCTGATGCAGTCTTTGTCTTGCTACATTCAAATGATACCGGAGCAAAAAAGCAATCATAATATTTTAGGGCTGTAGGGCTATTGGGCTATATGGGCTATAGGGCTATTAGGCTATAGGGTAATAAAGCTACAGGGCTACAGGACTATAAGGCTATAGGGATATAGGGCAATAGAGCTATAGGACTATACGGCTATAGGGTTATAGGGCTATTGAACTATAGGGCTATAGGGCTAGAGAGCTATAGAGCTGTACGGCTACAGGGCTACAAGGCTATTGGGCTATACGGCACCCCAGGGCACCCGGGCACCCCCGGGCACGCCCGGGCACCCGGGCACCTGGGCACCCAGGCACCCCCGGGCACCCAGGCACCCGGGCGTGCGGCGAAAATCGGCGGCAAACCTGACCTAACCATATGAATCCGCTAGGACCCCTACAGAGGCAAGCTCTGACTGGGGATCAACCTCAGGATGAACAGCGCCTCCTGAGACGCTCATAACTAGTTCTGGTAATTGTGGGAAAGTTGTGGTAGATCATGTTAACTTGGTCTTCAGGATCTTGCCTTGACCTTCCAGATTTTAACTTGACCTGTCAGCTGTTACATAACTTGAACGGTGCAAGTTGTGGACGATACGGAAGTTAGGTTTTCTGATTTTGGGAAGCGGTTTTTACAGCGTGAGTGGTTCAAGGTGTGGAAGGTGCGTTCTAGTTAGTTGTTCGTCTTTATTTAACTATTTGCTCCCCCCTCCTCCTCCCCCTCCTCCCTGGAGGCCGAAACCCTGGAGGCAGGGCTTCTCAGGAAGCGCCTGGCACAAGAGGGCCCCAAGAATGGTCTAAGGGGGGACAGGAGGTGGAGAGGTGGAGAGGAGGAGGAGGAGGGGGAGGAGGAGGAGGAAGAGGAGGAGGAGGAGGAGGAGGAGGAGGAGAGGAGGAGGAGGAGAGGAGGAGGAAGAGAGGAGGAGGAGGAGGGTGAGGAGGGGGGGAGGAGGGAGGAGGAGGAGGAAGGAAGGAGGAGGAGAGGAGGAGGAGGAGGAGGAGGAGAGGGATGGTCGACGATCCTCCGCCTACTCCTACTCCTCCCCGCGCAAGAGCGTGCAACGAGCGTGGGGGCCGTCGTCCTTCGTCGACGTCCTGCGAGGGTCTTCCTGCCTCCTCCTCCTCCGTGGAGGAGGAGGAGGAGGAGGAGGAGGAGAGGAGGAGGAGGAGGAGGAGGAGGAGAGGAGAGGAGGCAGAGAGAGGAGGAAGGAGGAGGAAGGGACGGAGGGAGGGAGGGAGGAGGAGGAGGAGGCAGGAGGAGGCGGAGGAGGCGGAGGGCTGCCCACCCCCTCCCCTTCCTCCTCCGCGCTCGCCGCCGTGCGCCTGCGCCGCGGCTCCCTCCTCCGCGCTCGCCGCCGAGAATGGGGTGGCGAGCGGCCACGCCAGCCTCCCTCCTCCCCCTCATCCCTCCTCCTCCCTCCCTGGTGCTGCGGTGCGCGCAGTCCCCTCCCCCCTCTCTTCCCCTTCCCTCCTCCCTCCCTCCTCCTCCCTCCCCCTCCTCCCTCCTCCCTCCCTCCTCCCTCCCTCCTCACTCCTCCTCCCTCCCTCCCTCCCTCCCTCCTCCCTTCCTCTCCCTCCCTCCTCCTTCCCTCCCTCCTGCATCCCTCCTCCTCCCTCCCTCCTACCTCCCTCCCTCCTGGGTCGGCGCTGGACCCCCCGCCATCGTCGTCGTGATCGTCGCAGGCTGCCAACGCGCGTCGCAAGCTGCCAACGGGCGTCCGCGGCCGCTAGCCGAGCGAATGCGCGGCCGCCCGATAACACCTCGATAACACCTCGATAACACCCCGATAACAATGTTACCGAAATACTATCGATGTGTTATCGAGTGTTGCCGAGCTTGATAACACTCGATAGCCTCCCGGCAACATTGTATCGAGTGTTGCCGAGCTCGATAACACTCGATAGCAATGGTATCGAAGGTAGATCGAGGTGCTATCGAGGTGGTATCGAAAGCTATCGAATGTTACCTAGCTCGATACCACTCGATACCACTCGATAACACCTCGGTAACAATTCGATATCATTGCTATCGAGTGGTATTGAGATGTTATCGGGGTGTTTTCGGGCGGTCGCATCTTCGATCGGCTAGCGGCCGCGGGCGCGCGGTGGCAGCCTGCGACGGCCCCTCATCCGCCACCCCCTACCCCCCTCCCGCCTCCCTCCTCCCCCCATTGTTATCCTCTTCCCCCTCCCTCCTCCCACAGCCTCTCCCCCTTCCTCCCTCCCTCCCTCCCTCCCCCCATTCCTCATCCCACCTCCTCCTCCCCCTGCTCCCCTTGCCCCCCCCCCCCCCTCCGCCTTCTGGATGTCCGAACATGCGCCTCCACCTCATCCTCCCTCCGCCCCTCCCTCCCTGCCTCCCTCCCTCCCTCCCTCCCTCCCTCCCTCCTCCCTCCTCCCTCCATCCTCCCTCCTGATCCCGTCTCGTCCCTCCCTCCTCCATTCCTCCTCCTCTCACTCCTCCTGCTCCTGCTCCCCCTCCTGCTACGCCTGCTCGCCCTCCTTCCCCCCTCCTCCTCCTGCAGCTGCTGGCGCCGCCGCCGCCTCTTCTTCTTCTTCTTCTTCTTCTTCTTCTTCTTCTTCTTCTTCCCCCCTCCTGCTCCCTCCCACTCCTCCTTCTCATGCCCCTCCTCCTCCTCCAACTCCCCCCTCCTTCACTAACTCCCCCCTCCTCCCTCCTCCCTCCTCCTCCCTCTCCCCTCCTCCCTCCTCCTCCTCCCTTCTTCCCCCCTCCTCCCCCCCCCTCCTCCTCCTCCTCCTCCTGCTCCGCCTCCTCCTTCTGCTGCTGCTGCTCTTCCTCCTTCTCCTCCTCCTCATCCTCCCTCCCTCCTTCATCCTCCCTCCTCCCTCCTCCTTCCTGATCATCCCTCCTCCGCCTCCTCCCTCCTCCTCCTCCTCCTCCTCCTCCTCCTCCTCCTCTTCCTCCTCCTCCTTCTCCAGCTCCTCCAGCTCCTCCAGCTGGTTCGCCTCCTCCTCCTGCTCTTGCTCCTCCTGCCCTTCGTCCTCCTCGTCATCCTGGCTCCGCTCTTCTCCCTCCTCCCTTCTCGCTCCCCCACCCTCCCTCCTCCTCCCTCCACATCCCTTCTTCTCGGCGCGCATCGTTGCCTCGTCCTCCTCTGGAGGAGATGAGGCCGACGTCGGCGTCGAAACGACAAGCAGAAGGAGGATGAGGAGGACGAGGGAGGAGGAGGAAGAGGTGGGATGAGGGAGGAGGAGGAGGAGGACTGGCAAGAGAATGGGGGGCGTTAAGGGCGCATTGGGGAATGAGGGGGGGGGGGCGTAGGAGGAGGAGGAGAGGAGGAGGAGGAGGAGGAGGAGGAGGAGGAGGAGGAGGAGGAGGAGGAGGAGGAGGAGGGAGGAGGAGGAGGAGAGGAGGAGGAGGAGGAGGAGGAGGAGGAGGAGGAGGAGGAGGGGGGGAGGAGGGGGAGGAGGAGGGAGGGGGGGGGGAGGAGGAGGAGGAGGGCGAGGAGGAGAGGGAGGAGGGGGAGGAGGGAGGAGGGGAGGAGGAGGAGGAGGAGGAGGGGGAGGGGGAGCTCCTCCTCATCCTCCTCCTCCTCCCCCTCCTCCTCCTCCTCCTCCTCCTCCTCGTCATCCTGGAGGAACTACAGACCTTCACGCTCCAGGCTCCAGGAGGGGGAGGATGAGAAGCAGGATGGGGAGGAGGAGGAGAAGGAGGAGACGGAGGAGGAGGAGCTTGGTACGTTGAAAGGAGGAGAAGGCGAGGGATGTGAAGGAGGAGAAGGAGGAGGAGACGAAGGGGGCGCGAAACGCATGATTGACTCCAAACTGGAGCGCAATGAACTTGGTACGTTTGAAGCAAACTGCAGCGCAACGCGCTTGATTGAAGTGAGCTGGAGCGCAAGCGCTGGCATCGCAAAGCGCTGGGCAACACAAACAACAAAACACGTTCTGGGGAGCAGACATAACGCAACAGCATAGAAACCCGTGGCTGACCAAATACTTAAAATCTGGTTTCGCAGCGCGTTTTTTATACCACTTGCAACATTACAATAGAGTGGTTGAAGATGGGGGGAAGTAAGAGGATAGCATTGATTAAGATAAGAGGAAGTTAGTTCCCCCCCCCCAAAAAAAAACACGCAAAAAATGAAAAGCTATCTTCCACAACTTCAACCCAATTTCCACAACGTCTCTTGCACTGCCAGAACTTAGTTATGAGCATCTCAGTCCTGCTGGTTCTGGTCAAGCCGAAACTGCGACATCATCAGAACAACAACTGGCCGACATGGGAAAAACGATGCCACCAACCTGTTCCGGATTCCCACACGATGCGCCTCGCCTCAACACTTTCAGTGTCACGTGGCTAGCTACCTCCTATCCTTTGCGTATGGCCTGACCCCTCCCTCCTGCTCCCTCTTGAGACCCCATGTCTCCCCCCCCAGAACCTCGTACGACTTTTGAAACACTCCCCTTTCTGATCCTCCAGATCGTCCCATGTTTCGTCTTCATCCCATATCCTTATACTCCTCCTGGTGTTTTTGTCCACTTTGTTTCCAAAGCCTCTCTCGTTTTGAATAGGGTGCGTTGGTTTCCACTCCTCGTCCTCCTCCTCCTCCTCCTCCTCCTCCTCCTCATCCTCCTCCTCCTCCTCTACCTCCTCCTCCTCCAACTCATTGTTGCACATCCCGAAGCGCCTGGGGCATTCCAGGAGCCAGAAAGGGTGAATAATAGAACGCCATTGGTTGGTTTTCTTTTGTAAGGGGGCAGCGGTCAAGGATGAGCCAAAACGCACCATGAAAGGAAATCAAAAGCACCCGCCTCTTCGGCGGCGTCTAGAAAAGCCTCCCCCTCCCTCACCTCATCCCCTTCCTCGCTGGGCGGGTGGGGGGGCAGGGTAGAAGGGGCGGGCCCGTCCTTGGCCAGCCGCTGCTGGTGCGGCGGGTCTGCCCTAGCCCGGACCGCCTCCTCGAGGCTCTCCGCGGACAGCCCAAGAGCGGCTGCGATGTGAACCAACTCCCGCCAACCAGCCTCGCCCACCACCCCCAGGTTCTGGACAAGGGCCTGTCCTTGCTTGCTGAGACGGGCAACGCGAGGGGCACGCGAAGTAGCCACTGCCTGCGGGGTAGGGTCTCCGCTGCCCGACCGTCCAACCTCTGCGCTGTTTGAACCCGAAGGGGAATTGAACATCGAGCGCTTTCTACTTCTGTCGGGAGGAGGTCACGGTGGGGAGGGGAACCGAAAGCAAGGCTTGGCCAGGGTGAGGGCCGTTCCCCGCGAGTGTCCTCCGCAGGCCATACAAGAGGGCACGCTGGGACTCGCTGGCGTGTTTTTTTTTTTTTTTTGTTTGTTGGGGGGGGATCTGCGCTGAGGGAAACGTCGGCGCTGCGCTGTGCCCCACGTGGGCCAGCAAGATGGGCAAGCTCGCTCTCGCGCCCGCGCTTCACAAGCTTCCTAGACGGCTTGATTCGAACGGTCGTTGGCCGAGGAGGAGGAGAAGGCGACCCGAGGGCTCCCGAAGAGAAAGGGGGAGGGCATCGAAGTCCTTGCGCTCAGCCATCAGGACCTATCGGAAAAGGCTGCCCATGGCGCGAGTTCCTGAGCAATGTCTCCTGGGGCCTCCGAGGTATCCTTACAACCAGACGTGTCATGTCAGGGTGCAGCATTACCCGTTGGTTGCTGCGCAACTGTCACCACTTTCGTAGGCTCCTCGGAGGTTCAGCGGAGTGGGGGGCACGCGAACCCAGACGGGGCCTCGCTTCTCGCTGCGCGGCTGCGAACTGCGGAACTGTCGCCACGTTCATAAGTTCCTGGGCTCCTGGGAGGTTCAGCGAAGTCGGGGGGCACGCGCAACCAAATTGGACCTCGCTGCTCTCTGGGTGGCTGCGAACTGCGCATCAAACGCCACTTTCGTGGGTTCCTGGGAGGTCCAAAGGGGTGGGGGGGTACGCGAACCAAGACGGGGCCTCGCCTTTCCCTGGGTGGTTGCGACCTGCGCAATTGTCACCGCGTTCATAGGGTCCTGGGATGTCCAGCGGGGTCGGGGCCCCCGGGCACCCAGTCGGGACCTCGCTTCTCCTTGGTTGGCTGCGAACTGCGCAACTGTCGCCACCTTCTTGGGCTCCTGGGAGGTCCAGCGGAGTCGTGAGCACGCGCACCCAGACGGGACCTCGGTGCTCCCTGGGTGGCTGACTTCAGTCAGCGTTTGGCGCTGCTGCATCACAGAGCGCAGGGCGCTGAAGCGTCGCGCTGTCCGCAATGGCCCACTCCCCTCCCTATTCAGGCGCCCGTCTCCTGCAGGGGCAGCGCGGGCGAACAGGGCAGATGTAGCGCATTGCGCTGTTACTCTCCCCCTCTTCCCTTGCAATCATCCTTGCCCTCCTCCCCCTCGTCCGCCTCCTCCTGCTCCTCCTACTCCACTGTTGTCCCCCATTCAATATTGCGCAGGTGTGCGACGTGCGTTGCCTGGCATTGAATGTTGCGCATCTCGCAAAGTGTGATGTTGCACGAAGCGCTCACATGATTCGATGCCTCACATGCAGGAAAGGGTTGGGCACGTACATGCTCACCGCGCCTCCTTACACACCTTCTCTTTCTCCTCCTCCCCCCATGCCACTGCCTCGGGCCCTTCCTTTCCACAGAACAAAGATGGGAGAGGAAAGATGGAGGAATACAAGGAGGAACCAGATCACGAAAAACACCCCCCTCATCTCCTCGGAGGTCCTGGCAGGCCTCCAGATCCCAGGACTGGTCCAACATGTCCGAAAACCCAATGCCCTCGCCTCACCCCTTCCTCTCGCTGGTGCCTCCTCCGACCCAAGGCGAGGTGGGACGGGGGGGGCGCCGGCGTTACACCGTCTGAGTTGGCTTTCCGCATCTCCTCGTCCTCGCCGTGGCCAACGGCCGGCCGCTCTCTCGGCACGTGCGCGCTCACGTGAGCCGGTGACGCTTCGGGAGGAAAAGCGGTCGGTCGACAGGGGCACTGGGCGGGTCCATGTCCCGAGATCATCGGTGGGACGAACGACCCAGACATCCAGCGACGCGAGACAAATCCCAAGCCGTGAAACGTCCCGACTGGAGCCCTCCAAACACTCCTTCAGTGGCAATGCTCGAGCTTGGTGCATCCGTCAGGGCTCCTGCGCCACAAACCCAGCGAAAGTGCTCGGCATGAAAAACCTACGACTGCAAGATTTCAGGAAATGGGGCAGGGATCGAAGGGCCGAAGATCAATGATCTTGGGCGTTGTCTTGGTCGAGGGCATAGGGTCCATCCGAGAGGCCACGTGCCCTCTTGGACTTCCGGAGGCCCCCAGAAACATCTGAAAACCCTTGGTTAGGTGGAGATGAGGGGGGAAGATACAAAGGTGCGAGAAGGGCCGAATAACGGTGATGGGCATACCTTTAGCGTAACGTTGCACGAACGCTGGCATCTGGGCATTCCATGGGGCTCCCTGTAGGGCCACGAAACGTGTGAGGGGCGTGCCAAAATGGGCGCGGTGGGCGCCTGCGAACGCTGGCACTTGGGCCTCCGGAAAGGCTCCCTATTGGGTCCCGAAGCGTGAGAGGGGTGTGCCGATATGGGTGAGGTGGGCGCATGCGAACGCTGGCATTTGGGTTTTCGGTGGGGCTCCCTATGGAGCCACGAAGCGTGCGGGTGGCGTGCCAAAGTAGGTGCGGTGGGTGCATGCGAACGCTAGCTTTTGGGCCTTCGGTGGGGTTCTTCATGGGGGCCCGAGACGTGTAAAGGGTCTGCCAAACTGGGTGCGATGGGCGCATGCGATCGCTGGCATTTGGGTTTTCGGTCGGGCTCCCGATGGGGCCACGAAACGTGTGAGGGGGCGTGCCAAACTGGGTGCGGTGGGCACGTGCGAACGCTGGCATTTGGGCCTGTGGTGTGGCGTCCTATGGGGCCACGAAACGTGTGAGGGCTGTGCCAAAATGGGTGCGGAGGGCGAATGCTAACGCTGGCAATTGGCCGTTCGGTAGGGCTCCCAGTGAAGCCACCAAACGTGTGCGGGGTGTGCCAAAATGGGTGGTGTGGGCGCATTGGGTTCGGTGGGATTCGCGATGGGGTTTCGGTGGGACTCCCGATGGTGCCACGAAGGGTGTGGGGGGGGCGATCCAAAATGGTTGCGGTGGGCGCATGCGAACGCTGGCTTTTTTTTTTGGCCTTCGGAGGAGTTCCTGATGGGGCCCCGAAGCGTGCGAGGGGCGTGCCAAAATGGGTGCGCTGGGCGCATGCGAACGTTGACGTTTGGGTTTTCGGTGAGGCTCCCTCTAGGGCCTCGAAACGTGTGAAGGGTGTGCCAAAATGAGTGCGTTGGGCGCATGCGAACGCTGTCACATGGGCCTTCGGTGGGGCTCCCGATGGGGCCACGAAGCGTGTGGGGGGCGTGCCAAAATGGGTGCGGCGGGCGCATGCGAACCTTGCATTTGGGCGTTCGGTGGGGCTCCCTGTGCGCCAAAATGGGTGCGGTGGGCGCATGCGAACGCCGGCAATTGGCCGTTCCGTGGGGCTCCCAGTGGAGCCACCAAACGTGTGCGGGGTGTGCCAATATGGGTGAGGTGGGCGCGAACGCTAGCTGTTGGGCCTCCGGCAAGGCTCCCTATGGCACCACTCAACGTGCGAGGGGTGTGCCAAAGTGGGCGCGGCTGGCGCATGCGAGCGCTGGCATTTGAGCCTTCGGCGGGGCTCCCTGTGGGACCCCGAAACGTGTGAGATGTGCGTGTAGCGTGTGTGTGTGTGTGTGTGCCAAAATGGGCGCGGTGGGCGCATGCGAGCGCTGGCATTTAAGCATTCGGCGGGGCCCCCTGTGTGGTCACGAAACGTGTGAAAGTGGGCCAGCATGAGTGCGGTGGGCGCATGCGAGCGCTGACTCTTGGGCCTTCGGCGGGGCTCCCTATGGGGCCACGAAACGTGTGAGGGGCGTGCCAAAATGGGTGCGGCGGGCGCATGCGAACGCTGGCAGATAGGCCTTCGGGGGGGCTCCTTGCGGGAGCACGAAACGTGTGAGGGGTGTACCACAATTGGTGCGGTGGGCGCACGAGGACGCTGTTATTGGGGCCTTCGGTCGGGCTCCCTATGGGGCCACGAAGCGTTCGAGGGGTGTGCCAAAAAAAAAACGCGGCAGGCGCATGCGAGCGCTAACACTTGGGCCCTCGGTAGGGCTCCCTGTGGGGCCACGAAACGTGTGAGGGGTGTGCCAAAATGAGTGCGGTGGGCGCATGCGAACGCTGGCACGTGGGCTTTCGGTGGGGCTCCCGATGGGGCCACGGAGCGTGCGGGAGGCGTGCCAAAATGGGCGCGGCGGGCGCATGCAAACCTTGCATTTAGGCATTCGGTGGGGCCCCCAATGGGACCACGAAACGTGTGAGGGTTGTGCCCAAATGGGGGCGGTGGGCGCATGCGAACGCCGGCAATTGGCCGTTCGGTAGGGCTCCCAGTGAAGCCACCAAACGTGTGCGGGGTGTGCCAACATGGGTGAGGTGGGCGCGTACGAACGCTAGCTGTTGGGCCTCCGGCAAGGCTCCCTATGGCACCACTCAACGTGCGAGGGGTGTGCCAAAGTGGGCGCGGCTGGCGCATGCGAGCGCTGGCATTTGGGCCTTCGGCGGGGCTCCCTATGGGACCCCGAAGCGTGTGAGGTGTGCCAAAATGGGCGCGGTGGGCGCATGCGAGCGCTGGCATTTGAGCATTCGGCGGGGCCCCCTGTGGTCACGAAACGTGCGAAAGGTGTGCCAGCATGAGTGCGGTGGGCGCATGCGAGCGCTGACACTCGGGCCTTCGGCGGGCCTCCCTATGGGGCCACGAAGCGTGCGAGAGGCGTGCCAAAACGGGTGCGGTGGGCGCATGCGAACGCTGGCAGATAGGCCTTCGGGGGGCTCCTTGCGGGAGCACGAAAGTGTGAGGGGTGTACCACAATTGGTGCGGTGGGCGCATGAGGACGCTGGCATTTGGGCCTTCGGTCGGGCTCCCTATGGGGCCACGAAGCGTTCGAGGGGCGTGCCAAAATGGGTGCGGTAGGCGCATGCGAGCGCTGACACTTGGGCCCTCGGCAGGGCTCCCTGTGGGGCCACGAAACGTGTGAGGGGTGTGCCAAAATGAGTGCGGTGGGCGCATGCGAACGCTGGCACATGGGCCTTCGGTGGGGCTCCCGATGGGGCCACGGAACGTGCGGGAGGCGTGCCAAATGGGTGCGGCGGGTGCATGCGAACCTTGCATTTAGGCATTCGGTGGGGCCCCCAATGGGACCACGAAACGTGTGAGGGGTGTGCCCAAATGGACGCGGTGGGCGCATGCGAACGCTGGCAATTGGCCGTTCGGTAGGGCTCCCAGTGGAGCCACCAAACGTTTGCGGGGTGTGCCAACATGGGTGAGGTGGGCGCGTACGAACGTCAGCATGTGGGCCTCCGGCGGGGCTCCTCATGGAACCCCCAAACGTGTGAGGGGGGCGATAAAGTAGGTGCGGTGGGCGCATGCGAACGCTTGTATTTGAGCATTCGGTGGGGCCCCCGATGGGGCCACGAAGCGTCTGAGGGATGTGCCAAAATGGGTGCAGGGGGCGCACGGGAACGCTGGCATTTGGGCCTTCGGTGGGGTTCCCCATGAGGCCCCGAAACGTGTGAAGGGGTGTTCCAAAAAGGGTGCGGTGGGCGCGTGCGAACGCTGTCATTGGGGCCTTCGGTGGGGCTCCCTATGGGGCCACGAAGCGTGTGAGGAGTGGTCCAAATTGGTGCGGTGGGCACATGCGAACGCCTACATTTGGGCCGTCGGTGGGGCTCCCTATGGGGCCACGAAGCGTGTGAGGGGTGATGCTGACGATGGTGGTGATGGCGATGATGATGATGACGATGTTTGTGAAATTGATGACGATGATGTCGACGGCGGCGATCGCGATGCTGCTGATGATGATAATGGTGATGATGACGATGATGATGGCGATGGGAGGGGGGTGAAGAAGGAAGGAGGAAACATAACGCGGGGCGCCGTCTCTTAAAAACGAGAACCCAAATTCACAGGATGGTTGGGAACAGTACAAAAAGCACTTTGCCTCCACATTTGGAGCATGCGCGGCCAACCCGCTGCGCCCCCCCCCACCATCCCTTTCAAAAACAATACATTTCAGCCTGACGAAAGGACCCAACTATCTGCAGTTGTGGGCACTGCCGTTGCATGCGCCGCATTCGGTGGAGCTCCCTTTGGGGCCACGAAGCGCGTGAAGCGGCGTGCAAAAATGGGAGCTGTAGGCGCGTGCGAACGCTGGTATTTGGGCTTTCGGTAGGGCCCCCTGTAGGGCCCCGGAACGTGTGAATGGGGTGTGCTAAAATGGGTGCTGTGGTCGCATACGAACGCTAGCATTTGAGCCTTCGGTGGGGCCCCTTATGGGGCCACGAAGCGTGAGAGGGGTGCGCCAAAATGGGTGCGGTGGGCGCATGCTAGCGCCGGCATGTGCGCCTTTAGTGGAACTCCCTACGGGGCCACAAAACATGTGAAGGGTGTGCCAAAGTGGGCGCGGTGGGCGCATGCGAGCGTTGGCATCTAGGCCTTCGGCGGGACTCCCCATGGGGCCGAGAAGCGATTAAAGGGTGTCCCAACATTTGCGCGGTGGGCGCATGCGAGCGCTGGCACATGAGCCTCTAATGGAGCTCCCTATGGGGCCACGAACCGTGCGATCGGTGTGCCAAAAATGTGCGCGGTGGGCGCATGCGAGCGCTGGCATTTGGGCCTGTGGTGGAGCTCCCTATGGGCCACCAAACGTGTGCGGGGTGTGGCCGAACAAAGGCGGCAGGCGTATGCGAGCGCTGACATCTGGGCCTTCGGCGGGGCTCCCTATGGGGCCACGGAACGTGTGAGGTGTGTGTGTGCCGAAATGGGTGCGGTGGGCGC